CCGTCCGCCTGCACCCTGCTGGGTGCCGCCCGCCTGCAGGGCGCTGGGTTCTGGTAGATTTTCGGTGGGAAATGGTTTGAAGAGTCAGAGATGCTGACAAAGCCCAGGAATCCCACGACTCACTTCCTGTCTTTACTTCAGACTTGGGGTAAGAACCCACCCTCAGAGACATTGCCGGCCCCCTCTCAGCTCACATCCTGCCTTGGTTTTCTTCAAAGCACTTTTCCCCCACACCTCGGACTCCCCCGGGGATTTAAGTGCCCTGATACCGGGGATGCTGTTTGTCCCTGTTTGTATCCATCCCCAGTGCCCAGCACATAGTCGGCAGTCGGGGTGTCCCAGTGTCGTGAAGGTTAGCCGTTGTGCCCGATGCCCAAGGGACGGAAAGAAGTCCATCTCAGAAGTGGATTCGCTCTGTGCACACAGGTGGCTCTCCTAGAAGGCGGGTTCAGGGAACTAAGAGAACTGCAGGGAAGATGCCGGGGTATTTTAGAGATGGGTGCTTCTAGCTGGCCTCTCAGGAATTGATATTGAGCCTGACCAGCATGGCTCAGTGGTTGAGTGTTGACCTTTGAACCAGGAGGTCACAGTTCATACTCCCAAGTTATCTGATTCAGAATCCCTCTGTGATATATTCTTGATCTTTTTTTTAATATTTGAAACAGTAACAGTCCTTGTCAGCAATAGGTGAAGGCTCTCAAAGTGCAAACAGTAATGACGAAAACAGTAATGGAGGTTAGGCATTAGCTCTTTACGCTCTGAATTATTTCAGACAGTTTTCAAAGCAGATTAATATTTATCGGTTTTTGTAGGTGCTTTCAGAAAAGAAATAGGAAACTAGAAAGAAACTAATGTGCTACAAGTACCAGAAGACAAGTATGAAAAGCTGAAGCTGACGTTGGGTTCTGGTGGGAAGATTTCAGCAGCATTTTGCAGGAAGTCGGGCTAGAGGCGGTCACTGTGGGGTCGCGCTTTATTCCGGGAAAGAGGCGGGGCCGATGATGACTCCAGTGTGGCACAAAAACAGGAGAATCTATTAAAGAGACTTTTTAAAGAATATATATTTTATTGATTTTTTTTACAGAGAGGAAGGGAGAAGGATAGAGAGTTAAAAACATCGATCAGCTGCCTCCTGCACACTCCCCACTGGGGATGTGCCCGCAACCAAGGTACATGCTCTTGACCGGAATCGAACCCGGGACCCTTGAGTCCACAGGCTGATGCTCTATTCATTGAGCCAAACCGGCTAGGGCTCAAAGAGACTTTTTAGGCAATCACATTTGATCCTGAATTTACTTGAAATTTTGTAGTCCACTTATATGACAAGAACAGACTTTTGAATACATAACTACAAATTATTGAGGCAAGGGAAAGCAAGCAAGGGTAGTCAGTAGCTATTGGTGTATGACATTATCAAAATCATCTATATCTTGTTTTACCATTAAAGATAAAGATTATTGCTTAAGGACATACCTAAAAGTTGGGATATTATCTGATGCGTTAAATTGATGCAGTGTAGCATCTTTATAATCACAGCATTAAACAGAGGTGACTACAATGAACTTATAATTGTTAAAGTGGTAGTAGCGTGTGCACGTAGACATTTTTACATAGTTTGGATGTTAACGTTCCATTTTTGGAAACAAAGAGTTGTTTTTGTAAAACCTTTAGGGTCTGATTCAGTGAAAATATTGGTTAGGTCTGGATATTTAAATAGTCCTTTTTATTGATAATTTTATTATAATTTTCTTACCCAGAATAGCTTATGCAAAGCAGGAAATAATACATTTTGCTTTTCTAACATGTCCTTTCTCTTATAAATTGAGTGGTTAGTATAGTAGTGTACACGTTCTTTTTTTCTTTTCTTTTTAAAATTACATTTATTGGGGTGGCATTGGTCCACATGAACATACAGGTTTCAGGTGTGGGTTTCTATGTGACAAGATCTGTGTATTGCACTGCGTGCCCACTTCCCAGAGTCAGATCCCCTCTCACCATATAGTCGGACCCCCTCCTCCCCCCATGCCTTCCCTCTGGCAACCACCACACTGCTGTTTGTGCTCAGGAGTTTCAGTTTTATATCCCACACTTGAGGGAAATCATATGATTCTTAGCTTTTTCTGACTGAATTGTTTCACTTAGCATAATGTTCTCAAGTTCTTATACTTATTTATTTGTTGAATTCTCTTATCTGTCATCATAAAAAAGTAAATTTGTTTGTTAGTTTATGCTCAGATCTATTAGGCCTGTTTAACTTAAGATTCAAAGCCTTAAAATATATCACTGTTCATTTTTTTCTTATTTACTACACAGCCTCTATTTGAGTGGAGGGAACAATGGATGTAGTAGATTCAACAGTCTTTCTGCCATTATGTGTCTTTCATATGATGTTAAGGGAAACAGTTTCTGAAGTCCTTCTTCAGACAAAGATAATCTCATGGAGTGTAGCTGGGCCTGAGTAACGCAGGGGTTAGAGGTGCCTAAGAGCATACTCCCCAAAATGTACCAACTCCTGCTCTGACCAGGAGCCTGACTGATAGTAGTTAATTCGCACATACTTTGTCTATTATGTATTGGATGCTCTATTCTTACAATGAAGGAAGCTGGAGAATAGAAAACATTAAGAAAACCATGAGGAGGAGAAGCACACTTACCTTCCACGCACGTGGACGTTCGCAGTGGTCCAGGGCCAGCTGTGTTTCGGATGGTCAGCAGCACATTCCTTTCTCTCTTCCCACGCTTTCTGTATCTTCGATAACGCTGGCGGGAAGTATATTTGAAAGGGGTGTTCATAAATGTAGTTTCATGTTCATCTGTGCAGAGTTGATCATTGTACTTCTGATCATTTGCAGGCGAAACCTGACCAAACTGTCCCTGATCTTCAGCCACATGCTGGCCGAGCTGAAGGGCATCTTCCCCAGCGGGCTGTTCCAGGGCGACGCCTTCCGCATCACCAAGGCGGACGCCGCCGAGTTCTGGAGGAAAGCCTTCGGGGAAAAGTGAGTCTCGGAATCATGAATGTTAACTGTGAAGAACTGAAGCTGGTATTGGGAGTTTTTTATTAATGAAATATTTAAAACATGGGAAAACAGTAAAATAATGACTGTTTGTAAATATTATCCAGCTTTGGTAAATATTAACCTCCCCCCTTCCTTTTTAAAAAAATTATTATTTTTTTTTGTTGATTTCAGAGAGGAAGGGAGAGGGAGAGAGAGATGGAAACATCAATGATGAGAGAGAATCATTGATCGGCTGCCTCCTGCACGCCCCACACTGGGGGTCAAGCCTGCAACCCAGGCGTGTGCCCAGACCAGGAATGGAACTGTGACCTCCTCGTTCACAGGTTGATGCTCAATCCCTGAGCCACACTGGCACCCCCCCCCCTTTTTTTTTCTTAAAGAAATAACCTGTGAAGATTCAGTTGAAACCTATTCTCTTTGATGAAATACTCTTCTCTTCCTCTCCCTATCCATTATGCTTTTAACTGACATTCACGTTTCAAATTATTTGCTGTTGCCAACAGTGCTGCGTGAATAGAATTGTATTTGTCTTCAGATGCAAGAGCTTGTCCATATTTCCAGACCTAGGGGTGGAATTGCCGAGTTGGGGTTTCACATCTTCTGCTCGGCCAAGTATTGCCTAATTGCTTCCCAAAGAGGCCGTGGCAGTTTTTTCCCGGACAGGAGTGTGCACGGATGCCAGGAGCTCGCACTGGGTCTCACACCAGCAGTAGGAATTGGTAGCAGAGTTTGCTTTCTGTTCATGGGGACTGAGCATCTTTTCACATTTATGACTGGTCGGATTCTTACTCTGACTTGCCTGTTGCTCTTCCTGACGTCTCCACTTTCCTGTTGAGTTGTCTTTTTCCTGTTGTAAGGTACTAAGTCTTTATTAATCACAAATATGTTCTCCTAGTGCTCTATGGCTAGTCTTTCTATTTTGTTATATTGTCTTTTGAAACAGAAGTTTAAAATTACATAGACAGATTAATGAGTCACACTTATGTTTTTACCTTAATATAAATGTTCTTATAGATCTGAAATTTTGGATCAAAAAACTGAAAAAGGTAGAAAAGCAATGAAAGTTTTTAGTTGAATATATAGATCCTATCGTAAGTCTCTTTAAATGCTATTTTTATTTTTTTTAAATTGTGTTTACATATAAAATATAGAATAATCACAACTTAAAGCACTTAGTTGAAGAGAATGTGAATAAGTTGACTTTGTTCCTTTAACTTAATTAATAACTACATTAGAAAAGAGATCCAAACACTACTTGTTTTTTCAGACAAGCAAATACATATGCTTCCCAAAGGCTTTGTTTTAAAGATCGTAAGGAAGAAAAATCGCATCATAGCTCTTGCTAGCCCTGTCTGGGGTTAATCAGCCTTATAATAAGTTCAGCAGCTTCTCTCTCATCTATATGAGGACTCAGCTCTTCCTGCACCTCCAGCCTGTTTCCTCCTGTCTCAGCCTTGATGGTGTGGTTCCTCAAAGAACTCATCATGTTTTACATGGTTTTAAAACGTTAGCTTAATCACAAGCTTTCAATTAGTGCAGTTTGGGCCATTGTCTAATAGAACGAATGAAGAAAGATGAGAAAAGAGATTAATTTGTGACATTCTGTTAAAGAACAGTGGAAAAAGACTTGTCTGTTGTTAAGTTACTCATTTGACATTTAAGAAATATATCATTTACTCCGTTTCTGTTCTCAACCCAAAATATAGCTGCACTTTAAGAGAATTGAAATCGATATTGAGAGCTTAACGTGGCTCTCTTTCCTTGATTATAGCATTGCCCAGAATTATCTGTTACCTCACTCTGCCTTCTCACCCCGCCCCCCAGGACAATAGTCCCTTGGAAGAGCTTCCGACAGGCCCTCCATGACGTGCATCCCATCAGTTCCGGGCTGGAGGCCATGGCTCTGAAGTCCACTATCGATCTGACCTGCAATGATTATATTTCAGTTTTTGAATTTGACATCTTTACACGGCTCTTTCAGGTAGGATATTAAAAAGTTGGTTAAAGTAGTTATTGCTGCTTTTCTGAAGAGAATGCTTTTTAAAATAACATTTGAGATTTTACCTATTATAAACGTATTTTTACTTATTCTAGAAACTACGCAAAAAAGATTAGAATTACCCTGCATTTCATAGCTGTATATAAATATGTATATACAGTATTTTTTGTTAAAAATAATAACTATACAGTCTGCTTTCTTACCTTGACATTTATCATCTTTCTTTGCTATTAAGTAATTTTTTTGCATCAGTTTCATGGTTGTAGAATGTGCAGGAAATGGGTATACAGTCACTTGCTACATAACAACAGGGATTTGTTCTGAGAAATGCTTGTTAGTCAGTTTTATCCTTGTACAAATGTCATAGCATGCACTTACACAACCCTGAGTGGCAGAGCCTACTGCATACCTCGGCCAAATGGTGTAGCCTGCTGCTCCGAGGCTGTAAACCTGTACAGCATGCTGTAGCACAGTGACTAAGCATTTGTGTATCTAACCATAGAAAAGGTACAGGAAAAATACTGTATAAAAGATTTGCAATATGGAACACCTGTACAGGGCACTTCCCATTAATGGAGTTTGCAGGACTGGGAGTCATTGAGTGGGTGGTGAGTGAATGTGAAGGCCTAGGACATTACTATATACTGCTGCACACTATAAACACTGTACACTTAGGCTGCATTAATTTATAAAACAACACTAGAGGCCTGGTGCACGAATTTGTGCACCAGTGGGGTCCCTTTGCCTGGCCTGTGGGGATCAGGCTGAAACTAGCTCTCTAATATTCCCCAAGGGGTCCCAGATTGTAAGAGGGTGCAGGCCAGGCCGAGGGACCTCACCAGTGCATGATTGGGGCCGGGGAGGGACCATGGGAGGTTGGCCAGCTAGGGAAGGACCATGGGAGGGCTCTAGGGTGTGTCCGGCCCATCTTGCTCAGTCCCGATCAGCTGGACCCCAGCAGTAAGCTAACCTGTTGGTTGGAGCATCTGTCCCCTGGTGGTCAGTGGGCATAATAGCGACAGGTCAAATGGTCTAAGGGTCAGACACTTATCATATTAGACTTTTATATATATAGATGAGGCTAGATCAAATGTAAGAGAAAATGATGCATTTAAAATATGTAATAAACACAATATGTATGAGGCTGCTGCCAGCATGCCCGGGTTGTAGACTCCATGCCCAATGTGGGGTGTGCAGGAGGCAGCTGATCAATGATTCTCTCTCATCATTGGTATTTCTCTCTCTCTCCCTCTCCCTCTCCCTTCCTCTCTGAAATCAATTAAAAAATATATATATAAAAAAAGGTACATTCTAAAATGACAATAAAAAATTTAGTAGAAGCCAGTAAGATAGCCATTTGTTATTAGCAGATATTACGTGCTGTAATGGTGTGTGTGCTCTACTTCTATGTGACTGGCAGCACAGTAGGTGTGCTACACCAGCACCGCCACAGACACGTGAGTGATGCGTTGCATTACAATGCTAGGGTGGCTGTGTTGTGACTAGGTGACAGGACTTTCTTGCTCCGTTATAATCTTAATGGGACTACCATGGTATATGGGGTCAGTCATGCCAAAACATTAATATGTGGTGCATGACTATAATGTGACATATTGAATGAGTTCTCTGTTAGTGGAGAGTTACATATGTTTCTAACTTTGCTCCTATTGTATTGACATTCTTGACTGTTAATACTGAGATATAATGATGCCTCAAGAGGAACTGATGTTTTCTTTCCTAAAGATAATGTGTGTGTGCCATCTGCATAACCTGTATGTGGAGCTTCTTGGTGGCACATGTAGTCCCTGTCTTGTTCTCTTCTTTGGGTTCTTGTGGTCTAACCTCACGACTGTTAGTTGGAACTGCTTTAAAGTGTTTTAAATTTTATTTTGTAAAGTTAAGTTTTTCCTATACAGATATATTTGTTTCTTTTTAGGTTTTCACAGTTCTTACCTTCCAAATACATTTGTCTTTCCTCAAAGTGACAATATGATTTAAAATTTGTGACAATAAATGGGGATTTGTAATTGAGAATTGAGGTTCTCTGTCACTCTGAGGAGGGCCATATGTCTTGAGCCAAATGGTGCGATTGATCTCTTGTTTCCTTAGCCCTGGTCCTCTCTGCTCAGGAACTGGAACAGTCTCGCTGTGACTCACCCTGGTTACATGGCTTTCCTGACGTATGATGAAGTAAAAGCTCGGCTCCAGAAATTCATTCACAAACCTGGCAGGTCAGTGCCATGAGTCAAAGAGGCTCATTCTCCTGGATGTTATTTTCTGGTGGCCTTTGTTAAAATAGAGAAAACATGACCTTTGATTAGTTCCCCAATGGCCGTGTTTCTGCAGATTGATGCCTGTTTATCAGAGGGATTGACTCATTCAGATCTGATGGTTTGATAAATGCTTTCAATCTACTTCAGAATTGGGCTTATGTGTCTTTGCTTTTTGGTCTGGAGTCATTGAAGATGATTTTATTGGTGGTGTTTTTTATTTTTATCCCTGTTTTACCGTTAACCCTAATATGAACTTATCATGTCTTAAAGATTCTGTTTACCTCTCTTCTCAGTTACATATTCCGGCTGAGCTGTACTCGTCTGGGTCAGTGGGCTATTGGGTATGTCACTGCTGATGGGAACATTCTCCAGACAATTCCTCACAACAAGCCTCTCTTCCAAGCACTGATTGATGGCTTCCGGGAAGGCTTGTGAGTACCTTCTGTTTGCCATCTGCCAGGGCCTGGGAACTGAGGGCCTGTAAAACCTCATCATTAATGACTGTGATGGGTTCCTTATACAGATGAAAATTCAGGAAACGTTTCCACAGATGATGTTGTTGTGACCTTCAGGTTTCGAGGACTTCTGTTTTTACTTAAAAGGAATTGGATGAAATTACTTTTCTCTACCGCTTCACTATTACTATGAGTAAACTTCATCTTTTTCCTTTTCCAAATGTTAACTTATTTTCAAGTCTATGTTAGATTTAAAATCATACCAGTTAGCAGAAAATGTTACCAGTTATTTAACTAGCCACAGATGTTTGCTCTAATGTCACCAGGCTCAGGGGCCTTCATCCTGACTGCACTTTGGTTAAGCAGCATTTCTCCAGGCGTTGGGCTTTTGTAATGTATGCTGATATTTACGGTTAAGTTCTAATTTATTCCAGAATTGCTATTCCTTTGGGAATTTAAATAGATTATAATTTGGAAAGTACTGAAAGTACTAATGTTGACGAGGTATCAGAAAACTACTTGTATTTAGGATAATTATGCATCATCTTCTATAGTAGCATTGGAGCTTTACCAAATGCCAGAGCAGTTTGAGTCTAGAAGCTTCCTGGTAGATGATCTCAAGTGGCTTAATTTGTTTCTTGTTACATTTCTTTTAAAATCTATAAACAAGGGTATTTTAGGTGTTTGGTCAAAAATACGTAAATGCAGTTTGGAGAGTCAATCTAGATGGCGATGTAGGTAAATGTGGTACTTGCCGCCTCCCACAACCACATCAAAATTACAACTAAACTACAGAACAGTCATCATTCAGAACTGTCTGAAATCTGACTGAGTAAAAGTCCTACAGCTAGTTAATTAAAGAAGCAGCTACATTCAGATTGGTAGGAGGGGTGGAGGCACAGAACAGACTTGTCTGACACCTGGGTGTGGCTTTTTTTTTTTAATTGGGAGGGATATCTTGGCTGTGGAGGTCTCCCATGAGGAGATAGGGGTCAAAGACCCATTGGGGCAACAGCTTGAAAGGATCCAGGGACATATGGGAAGGAACTAAATTGTCTGGCATTAGGGTAAGAACTTGAAAGCAGCCTTCTACCAGACAAAAGGGCTGGCAGAGGTCATTGAACCTTTTCTGAGACCTCCCTGCCACATTGCCGACAGGCAGTCACCAGATATGAGTCTGCATCAACTTGGCACATACTGTTCGCCCGCCCTGGTGATTCCCTGAGACCCAGACCCACCAAATTTGCAGCCCCATCCAAGCTGTTTGCAGTGGCTTTTCCATATGAATGGCCAGACTTGGCTCAGGCTTCAGACTTTAACTAAAATCTCTCAAACAAGCAGCAGCTGGCCTCAGTGTGCCCCATTACTTTTGATAAGTGACCTCAGGCCTGGCACTAGCAGCAGCCTGCCTTGGTTCACAGCTTGCCTCTCCTGATGCTTCTAAGCTCAACACAAGTAGCAGCCATCTCTGTAGCTCCTGCCGGGTGGCCCCAGGAAGTGAGACTTTGCATCTCTCAGGAGGCCCCAGAGCAAGTGCACCCTCCAGAGCTGGGAAGAGAAGTCCCTATAACTTCGGGCTGTAAAACCAGCAGGGGAAAAGTAAAAAAGAAAAGAAAAGAAAACCAGCAGGGATTGTGACTGAGGGACATGAGGCTGGGGGAGACCCAGGCATTTCCTCTTAAAGGACCCATACATGGACTTAATTGACTCACTCCCTCTGAGCTCCAGCACTAGGGCAACAGCTTTTTAAAATTTATTTTTTATTTTTTATTTTTTTAAAAATATATTTTTATTGATTCAGCAAGTCCTGCTCCATAGGGTGTCTCCTTCACAACAGCTCTTCCATTGTAGTCACAGCTGGTCCTCACAGCCAGTTGGCCTGGAGGTCAGTTCCTCTCAGTGACGCCAACAGCAATCAAGGCTCAACTATGATGAGACTGTGCACACAGCCCACATAGGGTGCACCTAGAGTGCCCAGCTCAGGTGACTAGGGAGGTTGAGCCACTGGGCTCTACAGGACACCTATTACACAAGGCCACCCTACCAATTCCAGGAGACATAACAGCTCTACTTAATACATAGAAACAAACACAGGGAGGCAACCAAAATGTGAAGACAAAGAAACATTTCACAAATGAAAGAACAGGAAAAAATCTCCACAAAAAGAACTAAATGAAATGGAAGCAAACAAACTACTAGATACAGAGTTCAAAACAGTCGTTATAAGGATGCTCAAAATCTTACTGAGAACTTCAAGGAATTTAGTGAGAACATCAAAGACATAAAAAAAGACTAGTCAGAAATTAAAGATACACTAACTGAAATGAAGAATAATTTACAAGAAATCAACAATAGAGTAGAAGATGCCAAGAATCAAATCAGTGATTTGAAATATGAAAAAGCAGAAAATACCAATCAGAACAGCATTAAAAGAAAAGAATCCAACGTTCGCATCATGGAGGTGCCGTCCTGGAAGGAGAAGAGAGGGAGCAAGAAATTGAAAACCTATTTGAAAAAATAATCAACAAACTTCCCCTACTTAGTGAAAGAAATAGACATACAAGTCCAGGAAGCTCAGACAGTCCCAAACAAGATAAACCCAATGAGGCCCAAAAGAGAATTTAAAAGCAGCAAGAGAAAAGCAACTGCTTTTCTAAGTTACCTAAAGGAGTGCCAGTTGATTTCTGGCACCCATGGGGAGTGGGCCTAAGCCATCAGTCGGACATCCCCTGAGGGGGTGCAGGCTGGGCTGAGGCACCCCCTCCCACCACCACCACCACCACCACCAGTGCATGAATGTCATGCACTGGGCCTCTAGTAAATACATATCTATCAACAATTGAATCTAAAAATCAAAATAAACGAACAAGGAATCTAATGAACAAAATAAACTGATGCATAAAATAGAGGCATTGAAGCATGGAACAGACTGATGAATCTCAGAGAGAAGGGGTGAGGGGAGGTGGGAAGAGATTAAACAAAAAAACTTAAAAGCATACATGCATTACCCAAGGTCACAGATAACAGGATGTTGTGAAGGTCAGGGTGGTATGGGATCCAGGTGGAGTGGGGGGGAGGCTTAGAAGGGGGCATCTGTAATATTCTCAACAATAAAGATTTTTTTAAAAGCAAATGCAATTTAAATTAAGAATTTATACTTTGTGGCTATCCATACATTAAAATAGGGGTTGGCAAACTGGCACATAGGCCAGCTGTTTTGTGTCTAAGATACTTTTCAAAGTGTTGTTAAAAAACACACATACACACACGCACAAAAGAATATGTGACTTTATCGCTTGCAAAGCCTAAAATATTTACTGTCAGGCCTTACAGAAAAAGTTTGTCGCCCTAGCCAGTTTGGCTTAGTGGATAGAGTGTGAGCCTGAGGACTGAAGGATCCCGGGTTTGATTCCGGTCAGGGGGACATGCCTGGGTTGTGGGCTCAATCCCCAATGGGGGGTTTGCAGGAGGCAGTCAATCAATGATTTTCTTTCATCATTGATGTTTCTATCTCTCTCTCCCTTTCCCTTCCTCTCTGAAATCAATAAAAAAATATTTTAAAAAAAGTTCGTTAACTCCTTGATTAAAAGGTGGGACCTGTGGCAATGTGCCCTGGAGAAAGAATATCAGTTTTAGGAGAATATTTTCTTGGAACTTTTCTGTGTTCTTTATTTTTTTGAAGTATTAGTAAGATTTATTCTTGCATTTTTTGCAAAGTCGCCCTTTATCAATGAGGGAATTCCTAAATGCCATCTGTTATGTTAGCAAGCTGTTATAAATTGACTTCAGTAAAGTCACAGGCTGCTTACTTCTCTCACAGCTATTTGTTTCCTGATGGACGGAATCAGAATCCCGACCTGACAGGCTTGTGTGAGCCGACGCCCCAAGACCACATCAAAGTGACTCAGGTGAGTTTTGTTGACAAGATAACCATATCTATAGAGTCAAGCTTTTGTATGGACTTAATGGAGCTGGCAGGAGAATTGTATTAAGTGACTGGAACACTTAAATTTTGAACCATTGACTAGATAGTGAATTTATGTTCCATGTGGTTTCTCTTTGAACCATGCAGCTTAAAGTAGGACCAAGACTAGGGAATTTCTGTTATGGGAGAACATTGACCACTGATGTGAAATTATTATACAAGCAAAATTTGTATACATAGTAATGGTCTTTAATATTTCCGTTTTTAGCATTTATGGTTGCATTCATTCATTCAACAAATACCTGAAATTGGCTGAATAACTGTTTTTTTGTCTTTATTTTAATCAAAGGAACAATATGAATTATACTGTGAGATGGGCTCCACATTCCAACTGTGTAAAATATGTGCCGAGAATGATAAGGATGTGAAGATCGAGCCCTGTGGACACCTCATGTGCACGTCCTGTCTTACGTCCTGGCAGGTGTGGATCCAAATCATGCCTTTTCTCAGTTGTGTGATCCTTCTGAAGAGTTGGGGGTTGTATGTAAAGGATGGCTTGTTGTGTGGGGTAGAGTAACTTTTCCTTTCTATTTTCAAATGTATTTCCTAGTGGATGAATATTTTAAGTAGTTTCGGATGTGCCTGTCACCATCTCCTGTCTCCTTTGCAGGAATCAGAAGGCCAGGGCTGTCCTTTCTGCCGATGTGAAATTAAAGGTACAGAGCCCATTGTGGTAGATCCGTTTGATCCGAGAGGAAGTGGCAGCCTATTGAGGCAAGGAGCAGAGGGAGCTTCTTCCCCAAATTATGATGATGATGATGATGAACGAGCTGATGATTCTCTCTTTATGATGAAGGAATTAGCTGGTGCCAAGGTAAGTCTGCAATTTAATAGCCTGTGGCCAACTCCACTGTGAGTTTTAATCTAAAGCTATAGAAAACATAATGGCATTCAAACTATGAGGAGCAATACTAGCTAATATTTATTGAGCATCTGATGTCAGAGACACCATGCTAAACACTATTCTGATTTTAACTCATATAACCCAATAAGCAAGGACTA